TGGATGACTGAGAAAACAAACTTTGTGTTTTTGAAACCATTAGTGAAAAGGCCAGACTTCAGGGGTATCTGAGGCAGGCTTGAAACACAAGAGTCAGGGTGGCTTCTGGGTAATACCAGATGGCTAGGCCTCAGACTGACGAAGCCTCTTGGATGAGGGGCGAAACGTTTCTTTTTAACAAAAAAACGAAGTCCAGATGACATGATTCAACCTTTTTTGTTGTTATATACCTGGATGACTGAGAAAACAAACTTTGTGTTTTTGACAACCATCTTACATCTAAAGAAATCCATTTTAAAAGGTAAATATTTGGTGATGCTGACTCAGGCTACATGTTACATTCACAGTCAGTCCTGAACAAGAGGTCAGTTAGCATTTTTAGTAAATGCACTCATGACACGTTGGACACAGAAGAGACTTTACAAGATTTCTGTTCTCCGTCAAGGTTGCTAATTAAACGCTCGCTATTACAAGAGCGGGTGGCACAGTGGAACAGTTGGTAGAGTTGTTGCCTCTCGGCGAGAAGGTAGCCGGGTGCTTTCTGGGTGGAGTTTGCATGTTCTCTCCGTGCATGCATGAGTTTTCTCCTGGTACTCCGGTTTCCTCCCACAGACCAAAAACATTCGTGTTAGTCTGATTGGTAACTTTAAATTTTCTCTAGGTGTGAGTGAGAGTGAATGGTTGTTTGTCTCATTTGTGTCTGTGATGGACTGGAGACCTGTCCAGGGTGTCCCTCGCCTCTCACACAGTGATGGCAAGACATGGGCACCAGTGACCCCTGTGACCCAAAAAGGAAGAAGCGGGTAAAGATAATGGATTGATGGATTATTACAAGAGCATTTGGATTAAAGATTAGATTTAATTTCTTACACTTTGTACTAGAAGTCTTTTACTACATCACTTTATTTTCTCTAACACAAAATTAAAAAGAAACTTGTGATCCGACTCGCCTTTTATGCACACTACATCCATAATTTAGCTTGTATAACTTTATGATTTTAGTTACTTACCAGCTGCAAAGGTTAGATCTTAAACTCATTTTATGGATGTGAAAACAGAACAATAGTTGTGTGTTTTGAATGTGAAACTGAGTTTAGTTCTTGGAAATCCATTCCCGCACTACGTTTCAGCTGTGACACCAACTGATGTGATGTATGTGTTTTGTAAATTCAAACATTTTCAATAGTTTTTCTGTCATTGAGTTCATTTTTCTGCATTAAGAAATTTCTTCAAGTTTGATTTAAATTTTACACTCGTGCAGGAAAAAATAAATGAACGTTATTTTTATGTTAAAGTTCCCAGCCACAGAAAAGTGTAGTTTTTTTTAAAATTATTATTATTATTTCTTGTTGTAGATCCTGCAGAGAATAACAGGTGGTTGCAATCTGAAACACAACTGACCTGCAGTGGTAGATTTAGATTTTCCACTCACTGCATTGAAATGAGTTTATGTCTTTTCATTGCACTGACACAAACACACCTTTTTCTTTCTGTCCCAGACTGTGTAAAGCAGGTAGTAGACCCTGAAGTCTTCAAACTCTTCTACACCTTCTGGAAGGAAAGTGAGGCGGAAGCACAAGATGTCAACCTGCCCTCTGAGGTGGTCACCCAGCTGGACAACAGCGAATGTGTCTACAAGTTGTCGTCCTGTGTCAAAACCTCTCTTGGTGTCGGTAAAATCGCCATGACGCAGAAACGTCTGTTTTTGCTCACTGAGGGGAAACCAGGCTTCCTGGAAATCACAAAGTTCAGAGACATAGAGGTTATGTGTTGAAACATCCTCTGCATTACCTTTTGTACTTTCTGGACCCCTGTCTGAATAAATCCCTCCTCCGTCTCTCTACAGGAGGTGAAGATGGCCTCAGCTCCTCTCCTTCTTGGTCGTGTTCCCTCTCTCCGTGTTCTGAGCTCCATCAGACCTGATGTGTTTGAAGCTAATCTGAAGACCGAGACCGAACTCTGGAACCTTGTGGTCAGAGAGATGCGGGCTGGATGCATGCTGGCAGGCCAACAGAAGGTACAGCGGAGAAAATAATGTCAACACTTTTTAAACTTCTGGAAGCAAAGCTGCAATAGTGGAAAGATGAACGTATCGTGGTGTATTCTCCATCTGTACGACCGAAAACTTTCTCTTGTCCGAGCCATAGCTTTTAATCCTTAGAAAATAATTTAATGAAGCTTGATAAACGCATGTATCATCACTAGACTAAGAGGTTATATACACCCCTACTACAAGGTCAAGGTCACAAATCAAGGTCAAACAAGATATTCTATCTTCCAGGCCACATCTTCTGATCAAATCTAATTTAACAAAACTTCATACATATAGAAAAAGGGTTGTAAGCTCAATCATTTAGGTAGATGACAACAAAAAAAGTTAAATTGTCTCATCTGGACCAGTTTCTTTAAATGAGAAATGTTTCATCCCCAATCCAGAGGACTTCCTCAGTCTATGACCTGCCATCTAGATCTGTCCCATAGGTAGTCTTCACTGCTGTGTAACAGGAGGTTGGCTTGAAACACAACAGTGAAGGCTACCTATGGGACAGATCTATCTAAAGTTGCAGTTTTCTTATCAGCGTGAACTTGGGAGTTGAAGGTGCCGTCATACACCTGCTTCAGCAAACTCACTGTCATCTAGAAAAAGCAGACAGCACTGTGAGAGTCATGTTATTTGATTTCTCCAGTGCATTTAACACAGTCCAGCCTGATTTGCTTTGTCAGAAACTCCAGAAGACTCAGGTGGAGGCCTCAAACAATCACCTGGATCAAAGACTACCTGACAAACAGACCACAGTTTGTCAGACTGAAGGGTTGTGTGTGTAACCAGGTGGTCAGTAGCTCAGGAGCACCACAGGGAACTGTACTCTCACCACTCATTTTCACTCTGTTCACCTCAGATTTCCAGTACAAAACAGACTCCTGTCATCTGCAGAAATATTCAGATGACTCTGCAGTGGTCGTGTGTATCAGAGATGGACAAGAAGCTGAGTACAGGGAACTGGTGGACCGCTTTGTGGCATGGTGTGGAAACAATCATCTCATCTTGAATGTGAACAAAACAAAGGAGATGATTGTAGATTTCAGGAGAAACAAGAACAGGTTCAATACTATTTCCATCATGGGAGAAGAAGTGGAGGTGGTGCAGAAGTATAAATACCTTGGAGTTCACCTGGACAATAGACTGGACTGGAAATGCAACAGTGAAATGTCTACAAGAAGGGACAGAGCAGACTACTTCTTGAGGAAGCTGAAGTCCTTCAACGTTTGCAGCAAGATGCTGCAAATCTTCTATAAGTCTGTTGTAGAGAATGCTATCTCTTCTGCCATCATCTGCTGGGGGAGCAGCACCAGAGCAAATGACTTAAAAAAGATCAACAAGCTCATAAAGAAGGCTGGCTCAGTTCTGGGGACTCCTCTAGAACCTTTGGAGATGATTATACGAAGAAGGATTCTTCATAAAATGAAGAACATTATAGACAACCCTCAGCATCCTCTTCATCAGACTGTCATACAACAACAGAGTGTCTTCAGTCAGAGGCTTCTTCAGATCTGCTGTAAGACAGACCGCTACAAGAGACCCTTCCTGCCCACAGCCATCAGCATCTAGAACAACTCTTTAATGAAACCAGGATGATGAGTTACAACAACATTTAATTTCCCTCTGGGATTAATAAAGTATTTTTGAATTGAATTGAATCTAGATAGCAGGTCATAGACTGAGGAAGTCCTCTGGATGGGGGACGAAACATTTCTCACTTAAAGAAACTGGTTCAGATGGCACGATTTAACCTTTTTTTTGTTCATGCATATGTGTCACCGCTGTATTTCTGTATTATAGTTTGTCGACTGGCGTATAATGTGCCATTTGTGGTACTCTCATTTTAAATGAAACTAAAAACTAAAATACAAACAATACTGCTTCACAGCACAATGCAAAACTTCAACCAGTAATGTAGTATTCTTGCAGCTAGTAAATATTAATGATGATTGCGTACAACTAGAATACATTTTCTTTTTTTTTTCAAACAAAAGCTGAAATGCTTCACGTTCCTTTCCTTTTGCAATTTTGTATTTTATTATTATACTTAGGTCAACAGTGATGTATCTAATTTTTCACACATTTCAGTTGCAGATGATATTATCTGTGTACATTTGATCACTCTCTGGGCTCAGTAGATGCTTAAAAACCATACTGAATTTGAGCATCATCTTCTTAAAGTTGATCTAAACTGTGCAAAGTATTTCAGTGAGTGTTAGCTGATAAGCAGTGCTGCAGTCTACATTTTTGTAGTGGATATACTTTGCTTAGAAACCAAAGTACACCAGTTAGTACAATGTCATTGTTAATTTATTTTTATTTTTATACTGAACATTTCAACATTTCTCTAATGCTTATAGTACAACAAATTTGTTCAACAGTTGGCTTTGTATTAAAAACATGTTATAGAATTTATAAAACCGTATCAAAGCAAAACATGTTCAAGTATTAAATAGAAGTACAGAAGTATTAATTATGCAAAAAACAGGTTGAACTAACTCAATGTGTATAAAATGTTCCAGATGTGTAGACGATGACAAGAGTCCATGTCATGAATCATTGCCTACGGTATGTGACATGGGCTCTTGTTATTAGGCACTTTTAAGTGGGTATACTGAAATGTCCAAGCTTTTCTAGTGGGTATACTCCGTATACCCGCGTATCACATAGACTACACCACTGCTGATATTATTGCTTGTTATTATGCTTACTGTCACTGCAGGCTGGTGTACCGCAAATGAACAATTTTACAATAAATGCAATGAATATTTTAGCATAAACCGTGTTCTTGCTACAGATAATAAAAATCACTTTTATCTCAATAACTCAAAAGTTAAAACTTCCTCCTGCAGCCATTTTAAAGACTCCAAGCTCTCGGGGCAGCTGTGGCTGAGTGGCTAGAGCAGTCGTCCTCCAGTGGAAGAGTTGGGGGTTCAATTCCAGCAGCAGTCACATGCTGAAGTGTCCCTGGACAAGACACTGAACACCTCATTGACTTTGATGTGTGTCCCATTGGTGTATGAATGTGATCTAAAGCTCTGATTAGTCTCTATAGAATGATTTGTTCAGATTATCTTTGTAGAGATATAGTAGAGTGCTGTACGAATGTGTGTGTGGAGGTAAATGAGGGCACAGATTGTAGTGTGAAGCACTTTGATTATCGATTAGATAGAAAGGTGCTGTATAAGTACCGTCCATTTACTATTTACTTTAAGCAAACTTTACTCACACTTTTTAGTCGGTTTTTTTTCCCGCCCTAAAAAGGACATGGTTTCACTTTTTGTTTGTCCAGGACCCTGAGTACATGACTCAAGCTCTGACCAACGTCCTGTTGATGGATGCTGTCGTAGGCTGCCTGCAGACTCAGAGGTCCATCGCTGCTGCCTCAAAACTCGCTTACTTTGATCAAGTCAAGCACAAAGGTCTAGCCTGACTCGTTCTTTTCAAATATTTTAGCAAAACTTTGCAAACATATTTACCATTCATTGTTTGATTTTTTTGGATTGAATATAATTTAATAATTGTTAATTGTTCCTGAACTTTCTCCCGTTTGTTCTCTGTACATTTTTAAAAAAGTTTTTTGTTGTCATTTTTTGTGTTATTAATTGTGTTTGACCAGCACCTAAAGCTTCCTCCGAGACTCTAAAGCACAAGATCAACCCATCACTGGGCTTGGCAGAGCCTCAGACGGTACATGTGCTGTTTTACACTCCAGGTATCTGATGGAACTACTTTCACATGCGTTGTTGTTGTTGTTGTTAAATGTGTTTTATATCAGTGAGAGGAAAAACATGAATAAAGCAAATCCAAATATCTCATAAATTATTTTTTCATATTGTTTTTAGAAATGTCATTTTTTTCAGAGCTTCAAAGATGGATGTATTTCTGGGTAAACGTTATTAAATAGATAGTCATAAACCTCTGCAAATAGTGAAATATGAATCAAATTTTATATTTTTGTAACTGTTAACTAAATAAAATCTTTTTTTTTTATATTCTAACAACTGTAAACCATCATGTCATCTTGAAAACTAATTGCAGTGCTTTTGTGCACATGTGTAACTGTGTTAATGATTAGGTGGGTTGTCTTGAAAATGACGTATAGTGCGAATCCGTTTCGGTTTATTGTCTTTTTGTTCGCTGCAACTACTGATAAAACGAAACGCATTTGGTGCACAAGTCCTTTTATCAAAAAATATATAATCCTCATAATTCTGCTCTCATTTCAAATCAGTTCAAAGAAATAACTGAAAGTTGATTTGTGTGATGTGTTCAATGTTAATCATTTCAGTTGGCAACTAATAAGCTGTTAGACAACTTCAAAAGTGTTTTTAACTCTTAAAGTGTATAATGCGATTTTAAAAACTTTATTAAACTTATTTTTGTTATTGAGAAAACATGTGGACTTATATAAACTGAAGACCTGGAACTGTTTGAGATTTTGGTTTCAAGTTCCACCCATTTTTCCACTTCTCTTTCAAGCCTGATCTGTTTTCTATTTATTTGTTTGTTTGTTTGTTTGTTTCAGGGCAGTTAAGCTGCACCACCTCTCAGGGTAAGATGAACTCCAAGCTGTGGGTGGCTCTCAGTGGAGGCAGGGTGGTGGTTTTCGATGCAGCCAGCTGGTCGATGCTACAGGATGAAATTCAGGTCGGAGAGTCCCAAGTGGTGAGAGACAGGATGACTCTGTTATCTGGAGTTATTAAAGAGGGCTTCCTTTTATTTCATCCATCAGGATGTCTTCATGAGACTTGAGTACTCAGACCGATATGAAAATGTCAGCTTACTTTAGATAACATTTTCTTCTAATTGTTTGCAGAAGGTTGTAAATTTGTTTAATTTATGAGAATAAACTTGTTTTATGATTACAAAAGTTTTCATTAAACAGAATTTTTAACAGCTTATTTGTACCAAATTTTACAGAACCGTTTCAAAATGTCGTGCTGATAATTCAGGTGCTCGTTGATTCTGATGCAGTGTAATTGTTTGAGCTGGTGGTAAAACAGAACTGTCACGTCACTCTGTAGACCTGCATGATGGGGCTGGTCCAGGATCAGGTGTGGATGGGCTCTCAGGATTCTGTTATCTACGTCATCGACACCTACAGCATGTCCTGCAACAAGCAGTTGACTGAACACCAGCATGAGGTGACTGGCCTCTCACTGGACTCCAGAGATCCCAGCAGCAGGTGGAAACATGATTGTCTCTGTTAGCAAACTCAAAAGGAGCTGCAGCCTCAGACAGATGAAGATATAAATCTCTTGAGGTACTTTGAATTAGACGTGTTTCTCTTTTCCAGTCAGCATATGTACTCCTGCAGCTGTGATGGGACAGTCCTGCAATGGGACTTGACCAGTCTGACGGTGAAGAAACAGTTCAACCTCGCCTGTGACCGATTCTTCTCCATACAGATTTATGGTAGCACCATGTGGTGCTGTGAGTACCTTTTGTTAATCTTTACTTTATTTTTTTTTTTTTGCCAACCCCAAATGATGAGCAATGATGTTTTTGCCAGTGTTGGTGTGTGTGTTTGTCTGTTCCCAAAATATCTCATGAACCGCAGGAAGATTTTTAAAGAAGCCTTCGTAAAGTACATCTACAAGTGTTTAAATTTTGGAGTTGGCTCAATTTAAAAAAAAAAAAAAAAAGGCTAGCACAGCTAATTATTAGCCAACATATAAATGGCTATAAATTGGTCACAGATATTAAACTAAAATTAGATATGATGATAGCCGAGAGTTATTCATAACACGTGACTTCTTGCAATATTGCATGAGATTGTGAATAATGTTATCATGGTTTGCCCAGAACAGCCATATCTTTGCCTTTTTTTTTTCCCAATGTATGATCTTAGTTCAAAACTGACATGAAAGACGGCAGGTACAGGTAAATATATTTTAAATTAGGTCTTTAATTTGCGTTTGTCAGTGGTGATTTAGTGATTTTTTATTATACCCACTCTGCTTTTTTCACTTAAACTTTTGAAATAACAATATTTCAGTCTATATATCATTTTGCAGTCTCCTAATTATTTATACCTGACTGTGATTTTCTTTTAAAGTTCTTTTATTTATTTATTTTTTTAATTATCACCGTTGAAAATCGTGGTAATGGCTTTATCCACGCTATTTGTGTGTTTTCACTTCAAATGCATTTGTTTTTGTAACATGAGTACTTGTATATGTGCAGGTTGTGGCGATAGTATTGTGGAACTGAAAGAGAGTAGTACACAACAAAGGAGGATATCACTTCCTGATGTCCTGCAGAGCATGCCCAGTAGCTTCAGCTGCTTCATCATCATCCCAGAGGTGACTTTGTTTTTGTCAAATACATCGGTCAGAAAGATCCCTCTAAGTTGATGCTTTAAGAACTCATTCAGTTGGGCTTTAGCTTTAGCAATGCTACACTAAAACTGAAATCCTCTAAATTTACTAACCAAATTTCCTAAAACCTAAATGGACAAATAAGGTGTTTTGTAGAGGCATTCTGTGGATTTTGAATAGTTATTATCTTACCTGTTGTAGATGACTCTAGATGGAGCTAACAGCCAGTCTGAGTGACGCTAAGACCAAAGTAGATTCCTGTCATTGTAAATTAACTCCAGTATCAAAGATTTCAGAATGATTCATGCAAACTGTTATAAACCTTTACATTGCTGTCAGTTTTGAATTACATGTTTATTTGCATAAAATTATATTTATATTTGTAAGAAAAAATAGCAGCAGCTAGCTGTAGCGTTTACTGTAAGCCTAGAGGCACTTCCAATGGTAATAAAATAATATTTCTGCAGGAATAACTTTAATGCAATATTGACAGTGGTGTAAATGTATATTAAAAGGGGTTTGCATGAACTGGTATGAACTTTTTGAGGCTGGCATTAAGATAGTAAAAATCCACTTTAGTTTTGGACCTGCTCAGGATTGCCATTAGCGTGTCAGTCTGGTCAGAATTCAGTTAAATTTCTCCAAACTAAAATTGTTCAAACAGCTATGTATAACAGGTGAGATATTAACTGTTCATAACCTTTCTATTGAACCATGCTTCAAATAGTCTGAGCTTTTCCTTTAAAGAAATAATCATGATTTTGGTGGGCTGCTATAAAGATTTGCTAGTTAAAAACTGACCCCCCCAAAAAAAAAACCCTTTCTATGTTTTAAGAATACAATACAGCAGCAAAAGTAACATTTAAGTCTGTTTGTTGCAGCGAGGACAATTGTGTGCAGGCTGTTCAGACTCAGGGGAGTTGTGTTTCTGGCAGACTAACAACCTCAAACACCCATTCAAAAAAGTCTCCTTGCTGAACAGTTCAGGAATCACCTGCATGATTAAAGTAAAAAACCAAGTGAGTTTTTTGTGTGTGTGTACTTTGGAGTTGCTGCATACTTTTAATGCTCATACACTATGACCTTTCATGTTCTCAGATTTGGGTTGGCTGCGATGGACAAAACGATAATGGTCAATTGAGAAGCCAGTTGTTTGTGGTGGATTTAGACAGCCTCACTGTGACAAAGGAGCTGCTTGCTCATTCAGACCGCATACAGACTCTCTGCTCTGCTGAAGATCGTTACGTCCTAAGTGGCTCTGCATGCTGCGATGGCAAGATCGCCATCTGGAAAGTTGAGTAGAGGACAGAACAGGACAAAGTGTCACCATACATAAAAATTGGAGGTTCATGGGGAAGGTTTTCATTGTAATCGTCACAATGTTGGAGTGGTAACACGGCTTTATTTGTCAAGATGAAAAGAAAATGGCTCTTAAGATAAAATATTTCTTGCCCAAAACTTATTCACAAACACTATATAAAAAAGAATATCTGTAAAATTTGCATATGCATGTTTTCAAAATTGTGATGGAATGTGGCAGCAGAAACCTATTCTATTGCTATAATGTCAAACATTTTGTATGTAAGCACTAATAATCAATAAAAGGTCTTGTAATTTCCTTGTGCTCTTTTGTGAAACATGGAACTCACAAAAAATTGTTAGTGCCCTTACTACAATATTTGTTCTTCCTCTTGGTCTCTTTCTTAAAGCCTTTATGTTTACTTTGGATTCTGTAAACCTAATTTCACATCCTGGTACAAACCGGATTCCAAAAAGTTGGGACACTAAACAAATTGTGAATAAAAACTGATTGCAATGATGTGGAGATGGCAAATGTCAATATTTTATTTGTAATATAACATAGATGACAGATCAAAAGTTTAATCTGAGTAAATAATATTTTTAAGAAAAATATGTTGATTCAAAATTTCACAGTGTCAACAAATCCCAAAAAAGTTGGGACAAGTAGCAATAAGTGGCTGGAAAAAGAAAATTGAGTATATAACGAACAGCTGGAAGACCAATTAACACGAATTAGGTCAATTGACAACATGATTGGGTATAAAAAGAGCTTCTCAGAGTGTCAGTGTCTCTCAGAAGCCAAGATGGTAAGAGGATCACCAATTCCACCATTGTTGCGCAGAAAGATAGTGCAGCAATACCAGAATGGTGTTACCCAGCGTAAAATAGCAAAGACTTTTAAGTTATCATCATCAACCATGCATAACATCATCAAAAGATTCAGAGAATCTGGAACAATCGCTGTGCGTAAGGGTCAAGGCCGTAAAACTCTACTGGATGCTCGTGATCTCCGGGCTCTTAAACGTCACTGCACCTCAAACAGGAATGCCACTGTCAAGGAAATAACAGAATGGGCTCAGGAATACTTCCAGAAAGCATTGTCAGTGAACACAATCCTCCGTGCCATCCGCCGTTGCCAGCTGAAACTCTACAGTGCAAAGAGGAAGCCATTCCTAAGCAAGCTCCACAAGCTCAGACATTTGTACTGGGCCAGGGGTCATTTAAAATGGAGTGTGGCAAAATGGAAGACTGTTCTGTGGTCAGATGAGTCACAATTTGAAGTTCTTTGTGGAACACTGGGACGCCATGTCATCCGGACCAGAGAGGACAAGGATAGCCCAAGTTGTTATCAACGCTCCGTTCAGAAGCCTGCATCACTGATGGTATGGGGTTGCATGAGTGCTTGTGGCATGGACAGCTTGCATGTCTGGAAAGGCACCATTAATGTAGAAAACTATGTTCAGGTTCTAGAACAACATATGCTCCCATCTAGACGTCATCTCTTTCAGGGAAGACCCTGCATTTTTCAACACGATAATGCCAGACCACATTCTGCAGCAATCACAACATCATGGCTACGTAGGAGAAGGATCCAGGTACTGAAATGGCCAGCCTGCAGTCCAGATCTTTCACCTATAGAGAACATTTGGCGCATCATAAAGAGGAAGGTGTGACAAAGAAGGCCCAAGATGATTGAACAGTTAGAGGCCTGTATTAGACATGAATGGGAGAGCATTCCTATTTCTAAACTTGAGAAACTGGTCTCCTCTGTCCCCAGACGTCTGTTGAGTGTTGTAAGAAGAAGGGGGGGATGCCACACAGTGGTAAAAATGGACTGTCCCAACTTTTTGGGGATTTGTTGACGCCATGAAATTTGGAAACAGATTTTTCCCTTAAAATGATACATTCTCTCAGTTTAAACTTTTGATCTGTGATTTGTGTTCTACTCTGAATAAAATATTAGATGTTGGCACCTCCACATCATTGCATTCAGTTTTTATTCACAATTTGTTTAGTGTCCCAACCTTTTTGGAATCCGGTTTGTAAGTAAACCTTTTACCAGGGAAACAGAGTTGAGGCAAGGCCTTGAGATCGATGTCTTTTGGTACCGTGACATCTTCACTTCCCTCTGATGCATCTGCACCTGCAAGAAAGGAGAAATTGGCTAAAATTAAGGTAAAAAAAAAAAGTGTCATCCAACACTTTAAGCTGCATAAATGATCTGTATTATTAGGACTTTTATTGCTCCAGCGTATTTCTGTACTACAGGCACCTTGATTAGTGTTTGCTGCACCTGAAGACGATTGTTCCCTCTTTTTCTTGATAAATGAACGCATCTTCCTCCCACCTGGCTTCAGAGCTTCACGCTCAGCCGCTTTGCTAAAAAAGGGAGGTGCCAGGACGTGCAGAACCTCCGGCTCCAGCTGGACACCCTCTGAACCTCCATTTTTGTTAATAACCTGAGTGGAGGAGTATCACTGAGTTTAATGATACAAACGGAGAAAATAACAGTGTCTTTGCAGTTTGCAACACATCAGCGTGTAATCAAATGACACATTTGGAAGCAGACACCTGGTAAGCTTCCTGAAGTTTGTCACTGGGCGCTCCGACCACCACGCAGGCTTCCAGCAGAACAGGCGGCAAACAGTCCATCACCAGAAAGACGTCCAGGATGAGGTCACAACACGTGCCTGGCTCAGGTGCACTAGAAGCAAAAACTAGAGTTAAATTAAATAAACATGAAGAGATAAATAAATGATGCAAAAATTAAATTAGCACATTTGACTGATTTTTAAAGCAATAAGGCATAAACTAAAGTATAAAGCAATTATTTATGCATCTTTCTGATAAAATAAACAGTTATCTATTGTAATTTCCCACCACAGCATGACTCCAGAACTGATCTCGTGGCACATTAAAGTTAAATATTCCCAAAAGTACAATCCATTTTTGGTTTTACAGAATAGTTTTTACTAGATGGAATTTAAACTCGATTCAGAGTCAGTCAGAGAGTCAGAGTTTCTTTATTGTCATTCGCACCTCATGTGGTACATGTGGTGGAGCAAAATTATGTACACGGGGTCCCAGTTACATCCAACAATAAAATGTATAAGAAAAACAGTAATATCTAAGATATGAACTAAGAAAAACATCAACTAAATATACACTAAGCACTCATAACAAAACATTGAACATCAGCACAAACATGAACATGAGTCTGTGAGCAGATGTGCATGAACACATCAACATTGAAACAGATCAGCAGCAACATGAAACAGATCAGCAGCAACATGATATGGTTTTTCACAGTGATTATTCTAGTTAGAGATTCATGAGTCTAACAGATTCATATTCGTTCTTAAAACCACTGCACATCAAGTTAACTGAGATTCTGCCTGGAGATGAAGGGCACAAGTACGGTAAGTAATTACATTTGTTTATAGCCTACATCACCTTTTACAGGTCAGAAACCACTAAGTGCTTTACAGAATACATAAAAACACAAGAACTGACTGAAACTTCCAGGATACCATGCCTCAAATGCTCTCATTAAATATGGGATCATTTAAATATGATCAAGTCCTGTCTTCTTGTCCAAATATAGTCAGTCAGGCCTCTAAACAGCATTTCAGAAAGTATTATAAACGTAATAAAAAAACAAATAAACTTAAAATCTGAGCCTTGAAATTGAGGTTTTTATTCCATGGGGTAAATTTAACTACATAATCTGGGGGTATTTTATTCAAAATAAGCAAATAAATATGACTTTCTGTCCATCTTTTTTTTAAAACTGAAGTAGCCTAACAATTTGTTTTATCCAAACTTTCTTAGCAGTTCGAGTTGATCGCACCTGAAATCCAGAACTCTGATTTTTCTCAGCCTCTTTTAAAAACATTTTAAAATATTCTATTCTATTCGCAAAAATACTCATTTGTCTTTCATCTATTTGTTGTATTATTTAGCTTCGTTTCGACAACGTAGCTGCTGTTGTGTCACGTGACGCTGAATCCCAAGGCAGCACAGGTGAGCTCGGCAAAACTAAAGTCGCGACTTCCGGAAACTACCAGGTTGAATTTCACTCCAAGTTTGCTACAAACGTATTTGATGTTACTAACCTTCTCACAGACTTCTACACGGCTGCTTACTTCATTTTCTTCCCAGTCATGAATGCAGTTTCAAGAGCTACAAGTACTTCAAGCACGCGGCGGTAGCGATATGCGTGGAATGTTGCATGTATGGCAAGACGGTTGATCATTTATTCGACATCCTCTATGCAACGTTACTGTGTACCTGCAGTCACTCGTGCGGTGTGGCAGGTGAGGCACTGACTCGGCTGGAATCGGAAGCTCTTATATGAACCCAAAATAAAAGCTTATATTTCAGTTTAAAAAGTCAGATGTTAAAATAAATAAATGCCACAATAAGCCAATTTTATTTCGTTAAAATATCCTCAGAAAAGTTTCCAGATAATCCATCTCAGGATATGCTGAAGAAAATGGTCAGCACAGTAGTTTGGCATTTAAAACATGAAAAAAAAAAAAAAAAAAAGTCTGAAACAGATTGTTCAAAAATAATTAATAGAAGTGAGTTAAAGTTAATATAACAGCATTAGAAACTTGATTCTTTATCTTTCATTTGAAAAAAAAAACCTCAAAAACAAGAATCCTTTCATGACACACTTCAAAATACTGAATTTTCCTCCATTATAGTAAATTTTGAAATTAAAACGCTTTTAGATTTAAAACCATTTTGTCCGACATATTGCACAATGTATTCAAATGTGCTTAAAACAGGCATATTTCATGTCAGAGGCTACATTATCTAAGGAGAAATAGACTTACTGGTTTCCCTTATGTATATAATTTACACTTGGTCATGCTATTATTTTACAAATGCAACGGAGTAAAATGTTCTAAAAAAATTCAAAGACTTTACATAAATATAATTTATTCTGTAAACTGAGGACTTTAATTATTTTCAGATATGACATTGTCTCCTCATTGAAGTTTTTAAGATAATTTGGCTATGGAACTCCAATATCTGTAACAGATCAGCTGACGGCCTTGAATAGACGTGATCCTCTCCCCATGTTTTTGAACATCTTTTTCCCTGTGCGACATTAATATTTATAAATGGAAATAAAATTGAGAATAGTCTTATTAAATTGAGAGTTGGAGTTTACACATGTAGCAGCAACAAAGATCTTCTGAAAATACATTCTTGCAGGATATAACTAATTTAAAATCGTACAGGACTATATATTGCAGCAGGTTGTTGCTTCAAAAAACAGTTCCTTTTATCTGTGCCAGAGCGTTTCCATTTGCACTTTTTTAAACATTCATAAGGACCAAGTTCAAAACAACAGCCAGTGTGCAATACAACCACAATCAAACTAAAACGCCCTGAGAGCAGCTTTCATCATCGTGGTGTTCGACATTTGTACAAAGAGTCAAATGTTAAGGCGGTCCGTGAAGAGTCTAAACAGTTACACCTGTTTTCAGAAACTTAAGTTACACAAAGTAACATTTTGATTGTCCATTTAAAATGAAGCAGCTTCAGTAAAGTTTAACACTTCTGATAATTTGGCAGCTTGAATTCAACAACTGGTTGCAGAAGCCAGTCAAAGTGCTCTGTGCTTCTTAGTCTTAGCAGCCTGAACTGAATCACTGTCAGCAGTTTGATAAAACGCTTGTGAAGCTTTTTGTGTAGTTATTAATCCAGCTAAGCAGAACTTGCTTTACAGTTGAGGTAGCAACAACTCAAAACGGATGTGACTTGTCTCACCAGTCCATTCCACCTGATCTAAATTTAACCCCAACAGATTTTTGTTAATGGAGTGTTATTTCTCTGCCTTTATTTTCTTATCTTTGCTCCTCCTGAAGGCACAGATTATCACATCAGATGTGTTCAGTATAATCCTCACATGCTGTGTCTGTCGGTTTATGATCGAAGGCTTCCATTGATTGTTTTGTGCTCAGGCAACAGAGTGATCCTCCGTTCCCTTCAAGTTGTCTTTGAGGTTCAGCAGAGCCCGTCTCTGGTCAATGGTCCTTTCTCCAGTCTGATCCTCCTCTCTGGGTGGACTGTTAAAGTCCTGCTCCTGCTCTGAGCTGCTGGGCTCAAGGTCAGGGTAAATAACAAGGAAACAGGCGGTAAGGAATCCGAGGAAGGAGCCCCCTGAGGCCACGAGTGGAATAACACGCACGCTGCCGACTGCGTCCACCACAGATCCAAGAGCCGAGGCCACCAAAATTTGGCTGATATAAACCTGGAAATACATTAAAACAAACTGAGACTGCACATTTTCAGATTAACACTATAAATGACACAGAGAAACGAAGCAAAGACTGACCTGGCAGGATAATATAGCACAGTCAATACCAAGACCTCTTCGAGTGTTTGCTGGACTGTGATGAATGTACTGAGGAAAGAACATAAGGCAAACATTAATAATCGCATCTGCTAATATTTAATATGAGCACAGGCAAACACTTTTAGTGGCAACTCTAATGTAAATAAGACATTACAAAAAAACTGCTAAATCTAAAAAAAAAAAAAGGTTTAAAGGTCTCCAATTGTGTGAAAAACATCAGGAAAAATATTCAGTGTTAATTTTTTTTTGTCTTAGGCTTAAGTTCAACAATATGTCTGAACTTGTGTTTGTGTGCGCGCTCACCTCTTTGATTTCATGGTACTGCCCGAGTAATGCATAGGGGCAATAGGAGATACTCATGGAGATGATACCCATGCCACTGATCATCACCATGGCAACATAAACATTAGGGAAGATTGCCATAACTGCAGTTCCTAAAAAAAAAAATAAGGAGAATTGGAAGCTTGAAATGTCAAATCTATGTAATATTTCTTAATGTTACCCCATGTTTCAGCTAAAATTTAATCTTGAAGGTTTTTGTCACAACAACAACTTAAAATCCAGAAAACTGGTGAATCGATGTAGACTACAGCAACACATTTCAGATTCATGCGCAGCTTGTAATTGAAATAAAGTCAACATTTTTAGTTGGACTTTTTAAAACAATACATTGAGTTTAACATTGGTAAAAAAAAAAAAACATTTAAATTTAAGTCTTAACCATGACTCAATGAGAATGGTTCAGACCCAGAAAGAAAACAGGCTCAAACCATCAACCTACCACTACCATGTTTCACAGTTAGGTTTCTTGTAGGGATGTGAACACTGGAATATAGTGATAAGTCGATGTGAGAGGAAGTTTTTGCACATTTTCAAACAAAACTGTACCTGAATTGATTCTGAGCTGGTTTTCTTGAATTTTCTTTTATAATTAGATGCTAAACAAATATTTAGGTCTAATTTAATCAAGATTTATTCATTATGTGGTAACAATTAGTAACATTTAGATCAGTGGTTCCCAACCCTGGTCCTTGAGGAACACCACAGTTTTAGTTGTTTCCCTGCTTTGACACACCTGATTTGAACAAATGGGTGCTTATCAGGCTTTGGCAGAACTTGAGGAAGTAATTAAATCATTGAATCAGGTGTGTTGGCACAGGGAAATAACTAAAACATGCAGGATGGCGTTCCTCAGGGACCATGGTTTGGAACCACTGATTTAGACAACTGTGGTAACATGATGGAGTAACATCAGCAAATTTATATCACTCAATTAACAACAAAAACACAATTCTTATTTTTATGTAATTTCATTATTAAGAGTTACTAATATAACACATTTCAGACAATTGTTTGTCTCAAATATTTTTTACTATAACTTTAAAGATTTCAGTTACCGGTATATACTTTTAAGACTTGTTTAAAGTTTTTACGTTGTAGAACTGTAACTTAAGCCCCTTATCCACAGGTCCTTTTACGGCCATAGCATCACTGTACACGAACCAGTTCCAAAATTGACAGTACTGAGCTCTGATGTTGACTGACCCACTGAGAATCCCAGAGTTCCAACGACATAGATGACCTTGATACTCAGATCAAAATTATCCAGAGACTTCTGAAGAATGGCTGGGGAAAAAAGTAGTTTGGGACATTTTAGAAGATGGTTAAAAAAATATATAAAAAAAAAGTAAAAAGGAGCTTCATTGTATTCCAAATAAATGTGTATGTAATAGACTACCTAGATAAATGATAACCTGAATGTGCAAACAAAGCTTGTGTTTACCAGAGCAGACAGCAGCTGTAGCAGCATAGACTACCAGTCCCCAGCAGCCCATTTGGACTCCTCTGTGATAATTCTGGAGAGCTGTTGAATTGGCTGGTGCCTGACAAAACCAAAATAAATTGCAATTATTATTATTGTAAGAAACGTCTTTTCAAACAGACTGAATAGCTGACATTTACTTTAAAACCGTAAATTACAGTATGCAGTATTTAGTGTTTACATTTCTGTGTTCCACCACAGAGTCGTTTACTTGATATACAAAATGTCAAATGGTGGCAGTTTCTGTTTTTATAATAACAGAGACAGCAGAGTTGGTATGTACCGTGGGGTCTCCTTCGAAAATGACTTGGCCCATGAAATCAGTGTAAAACACAGCTTCAGCTATAATCGAGAACCATGTAAGGAGGTGACACAGGCACAACCTCCAAAGCTGCTTTGGCATCTGTGAAGGATTGAAATAAATACAGTGAGTGAAAACAACCATGTAAGAAAAAATATGAAATTCCACAAAAATGTCTACGGCGTCTGCAACAGCACATATTTCACTTTTTGTTGTCAATTTTGCTCAGTAGAATAGTACAAGCAGGAAGGAAATGCTTCATTTGAAAATGTAGTTCACCTTCAACATGGACAGCCAGAGCAGTTTCACCGTGGTTCCCTTTTCTTGTTCTCCCTCACTGCTGGAGCTCTTGGACGACAAGCTGCTAACAGACAGCTGAAAATCTCGCCTGCACAAATGCGGCCCCTGGATGTCCCGCAGATCGTTCAGACTGCGGGAGGTGGTGATCGGCCGAGGACTCGCTGCTCTTGTGCGCCGCAGTCGATAGCGTTGCGGTGCCACTCGACCATAATATGAAAATGTAAAAGAGGGCTAAAAAATAAATAAATACATAAATAGCAACGTCAACCATGTTACATGTACCAATAATATGAATATGTTGAACATGTTTATACTGTAAGTACATCAGATCATTTTACAAAATAGTAATTTCACTTGTCTGTAGAAGGTTGGCGGGTGAGGCCGTGATAAAACTGAAGTATTGGTTGTGCGGTTCCAATGCTTGGTGGCGATGTGGCCGTTCATTACATTCGTATGGTTAGAGGAAAATACACCAGCATTGACCCCATTAGCAGCTTTGTCTTGCTGGGACAGAAGACAAATTAAAAATTAGTAGCCAAAATGAAACCCACAAGGCTGTAGAAGTTAATATACACTAATCAAAACATTTAAGCAGATAGTTTTACCTGTCTTTGATGTGCGCCCACTGATGCCGGGCTGATCTGGGGGTTACAAGGCTGACCATTTGTTGGGTCATTATGTTGAGGCAGCTCTGTTTCTGCAGGCTCTATGACCACATCAGTAACAGAAGGCAGCTCACCTGGAGGAGACGAGGACCCAATGCTGTGGTCTGATGGCTTAAAAGAATTCTCTAGATCTCCATGAGGTTCTGGTAAAAAGTGCTTAGCTGGCAAGAAAACCGCTCTGTCCAGGTCAAGGTCAGGGTCCAAGTCTATTGTAGCATCTGGCATGGCTAAGACTGAATCACTTTTACTCCGCACTCTTTGCTCAGCAAAGAAATCCAATTCCCTTTCCTCGAGATGGGGTTTGTCATCTCGAGATGAAGCAAAAACATCCTCCTCTGGAATTACGTCTAGTAAGGTCGGCACGTTCCCAAGAACGCCTGAAGACGAATGACTGGACGACTCTCCATCTTCTATATCTTTAAGCTTGTTGGATGAGGCAAACGATCTCTCGGGGATGCTGAGCATGTGCAGTGTGACAGAAATAATAAAGATAACTCCAGCAAACAGGAAGAGGACCTGTTCTTGTGATTTAAATGCTCTGCCCAAAGCTGTGCCAGTCCAGTCAAGGCCTCCCAACATGTACCCCAATGCTCCACCAAGCCCTGGAAAAACAAATACAGGAGTAGCTTTTGCATTTGTATTAAGGTTTCAAAATAAACAATACATTTAAACAAGAATAGCAGAAAGGTAGCTAGATGGATAGTATGACAGGCAGTGCAGCTATGAAGTGCAAACCTGGCAGTGCAAGTCAGAACAAGGTGCAAAAAAAAAAAAAACAAGCCTGAGCTACAGTCACATTTCCAGTTTGCATAGTTCAAGTACAGCAGGAATCTGGACAATTTGGAGGCACGTATTAAACACAGACTTAAGTAATTTGTGAGTTTTGAAAATGGTGCATGCAACAACCGATGTTTTGTAGCTTCTTGTGCATGTAAATATACAGTATACTAAATGTACATATCCTACCAGCAGAGAGGCCATGAATATTCAGGGCCATGTCCTGCTCTTCTGCATCAGCAACATCAAGGAGGTAGGCTACAATTGGGCCCTCAGAGGCATCGGCACAGAAGTCCAGCACTACCACACCCACGACAGTGAGAACAATGCCAACTGGCTGGCTGTTTGGACTGTCACTGATGGAAAGCCCTAAAAGTAAATCACAGATACACACGAACTGGATCAAACTTTGTAGCCAGCATGAAGTGGTAGTGGCTCATCTAGAATCTCCTACTTACCTATCAACGACCCGTTTAAAAACAGCGCCACTCCAATGAGCACGCCCAGGCACAGAGCCAGAATGAATGGCCGTCTCTTGCCCCACCGCAGAGTACAGCGGTCACTGGCCGAGCCAATCAGAGGTGTGAAGAGAAGACCCAGGATCGGACTGAGAAACCAAGTTAAACTGTAGTATTGCTCTGGAAGACCTAGAACACACACGTGGTGAAATGATCATTGACTGCAACACTGACTGAGATTATCGCCAAAATGACAACAAGACAGTTATCTGTGTCTTCTTGTTGGAACATAAATCTTTGATATTATTTTCTTTACTGGTGCAAAACAATGGCAAACTTTTTATATGTGCATTTACAAAGTGTCTAAAACTAGTCTTATTAAAAAAAAAAAATCTTTATTTTATTATTTGATTTATTCGTTTGATTATTCATTTGTTTGTTTATTCAGATCTCTTTTGCAAGGGAGGCCTGGGCCTGAAGACTAAGATACTATCTTTTACTTACAACGCAAGGGTCATGTTTTGTAAACTGCTTTTTGTTTACCAAAAAAGTCCATGCTCAATAATCCAGCTTTGTTTAGGTGCTACTTTATCAGATAGAGTAATTTGTCAAACATATAATGAAATTTGTTTTAAACCACGTTCTTAATTTTAGATACAAGAAATGCATACTGGAAAACAAACAAACAAACGTAAAACAACATTATGGCAGCACGATGGCTCAGTGGTTAGCACTGCTGCCTCACAGCAAGAAGGTTTTGGGTTCAATTCCCGGTTGGACCTGGGCTCTTTCTGTGTGGAGTTTGCATGTTCTTCTCGTGCTTGCATGGGTTTTCTCCGGGTACCCCGGTTTCCTCCCACACACCAAAAAACCTGCATGTTAGGCTGCCTTCAAGTCCAGGCCTCTCTTGCAAAAGAGATCTGTGATCTCAGTGGGACCTGCCTGGTTAAATAAAGGTTAATAAATAAATAAATAAGCCTCAGCATTTTCTGTAATAAATTACTCATCAACCAGGTTCTGTTTTAAAAACAAAAATCTTGAAATTATAGAATCTTCTAGATTAACTATAATCTTGTACAAAAGAAGCCGTTCTTCCTATTTTTTCCTCCCTTACACAAAATGTAAATTTGTTTTTCTTGTACAAGCATAAATATCAAGTACATGAAAGTCGACATGCACCAACAAGATCAGAAAGTGTTGACATCTTTAGTTTGCTCTCAGAAGACATTTCTAAGATTTAAACCACTCAAATGTACATTCCTACTTAGAACTTTATAAAACTAAAACAACAAACTTCAGTAAAGCGTGTACTAGATTTCATTTCAACAGTTACTTAGAAACGATAGAAAACATCCACGGTCACTCAAGTTAAAAACATAAACCTCTGTCAGAGGGCGATGTCTGTCAAAAAAAGAAAGAAAAAGACAATGCACGTTAATATCCTGATGCATGCTCAATAATCCAGGTAGAAAAATCCAAAAAAGTTAAATCTGGTCCTCTGGACATAAAAAAAAAAAAGCAAATCAACAAAAAAATGTAGAAACGTTTCGTCTCTCATCCGAGAGATTTACACGCATGTAGATTAATGCACGTTAAGTTTTAGCTTAATAAACTTATAAATAATGTTACATGGTTGTGCCTTGGCTGATTTTATCTGTAAGAACATGATCACTCTTTAGACTCCTGTTTTGTCCCCTTAATGCACCTAAACACAAACTGATTTTCACACAGAGGCAAAAAATAACATAACAAAAAAAGAGAGTCTGAAACAAATTAATTCCACTTTAAAAGATGGAAGGTACTAAGATTTTTTGTAACTTTGATTATTACAGCAAAACATTGGACAGCAGCTAGTACATGAAGTACCCAATGTTTTTAATACAAATAAGTAATGTGATGGTTGAGCTGTTAGACAGCTTTAAAAGCAAAAAGAGTATTTTATAATTTTCTAAATGCCTAGTAGGACTGTTTGACCGTAGCAACATCCCAACTGGGGACAACTGAATATAGAAACACATTCGTGGCTATGAATACAAGATAAAAATGCTGTCCTGATATATGAAAGACTCACACTAGATATCCTTGATCTTTGTTCAAAAGATGTTGGCTTGAACAAAACCTACAGTCTGCAAAAGCAAAGTTAATGTGCCACTAGTCCAAGCATCTTCATTTAAGCACAAACATTAATGTTTCTGAACAGGGTTACAAACTGTGGCAACAATTAAAAAGACTTCAGATGCAAAATCCAGTGTATTTTTTTTTTCTTCTTTCTATTCAGTCATAGTCACTGCAGTTACAAATTATTATTTGCGAATGTAATGCTACAATTGTTCTGAGATATTTCAGACGTTTATTTCAACGTAAGGAGTCAGTTACTGACTATAAACAACATTATATGACTGATGGGTTCCACGTCAGATGGTTGCTTTTAAAACCATGGTTCTTGTAAATAACACCCTTAGATAAAGATTTTTATGCATGTGAATGTTTCTGTTCAGTACCCTGAGATGACGTCTGTTGTGACTTGGCGCGACATAAATAAACTGAATTGAAATGTATAGACAACGTAAGAAAGACAAAATCATTCATAAACAAACTGAACCTTTAACATCAGTGTGAAGTGTACTATCTTGGTGCCAAAGTGAAAAACAGTAGGCTTGAAATGTGCTGTGTTATACATTCTTGTCATACCTGGGCTGGGGATATCGTCTTTGTTCCATTTTTGCTACGCTGGCTAACCTAACCTCTAACTGCCTACGGTAGCCCCTCAGTGATTACAGATACAAGTAACACAGAGGAAGACCAATGAAGTATGCCTAACAAATATAATCACAATTAAATTCCATGATGTTGCTCAGTTTTACCGGACACTTTGAACCCACAAATTTGTGATATTAGCAATAACAAACCAAACAGCTGTTTTAAATAGAAAGTTCCTGGAGAAACTTTGATGGGGACTGCCATGTTGCAGCCGTTTCAAAATTTTGATTTTACAATACTATGTGTTGGGATTCACTTTCAGCTACCACTACGCCAAATTTCAGCTCAATATGGCCATAAATCAATGAGTTATAGTATTTTTCCTCCTTTTCAGTTATGGTCACCATGTTAGAGTTTAGATTCAGTATGTGATGGGAAACGTTTGGAGTTTTGATTTGGATTCAGTATGTGATGGGAAACGTTTGGAGTTTTGATTTGGATTCAGTATGTGATGGGAAATGTTCTTAGCTATACTCTCACCAAATTCCAGCTCCATATGTGTAAAAATAGCTGAGTTAAAGCCATTTAAATGTAGCTTTGGTGACCATCTTTGAATTGATTTTTTTTTTTTTTTTATTCTGTATTTATTGTGCATTGGTCTCAGCTAGCACCAAAATAAATCCCAGCTTAATATCTCTAAAAATGGCTGATTTATCTTTTTTTTTTTTCCTTTTCAGCTCAGGCGGCCATCTTGGATTTTTGATTTTCAACCAGATTCTATTAGGGATTGTTCTCAGTTCCCAATACACCACATTTCAGCTAAATAGCTCTAAAAATCTCTTGAGTTATATCCATTTGAAATTAGCTTCGGTGGCCATCTTGCATTTTTAGTTTTCAATTCAGAATGTGTTGTGCATTGCTGTCATGTACCACCACACAAAATTTCAGCTCAATCTATTTTAAAATAGCAGGGTTATCATATTTTTTTTCCTTATTTAGCTAAGGCGGCCATCTTGGATTTTTTATTTGCATTAGGAATGTATAATAACTCGCTCTCAGCTATGATCTTATGCTCAATATCTCAAAGAATGACTGTGAGTTCTAGTCAATTTTGTGTTTTCTGAGGTAGCTGTGGCAGCCATCTTGAACCAAAATGGCTCCAAAAGTTAATCAGTGGTTTTTACAGAGACCTGTCTGCTCGAGATCATGTGACCTCACTGTGGCAGAGGCTGTTAAGTGTTCTGTCTGTTTTTCAATGAGAAAATTGGCAAGATTGTTTGCAAATTATGTCGCCATGGTAACTTGAAATGCTAATAAATGTAATAGCAGACATCACGGTGCCAAGCTGGTCGTTTCGATATAACATTTGAGGGGGTACACGTTGCGATTCGGGCTGTATTAAAGTTGATAGAAGAGCAAGACCCTCTTCAGGTTGCCTTCAAGCAGTCCCCAGAAACTTTACCTCTGATTAGACTTGACAATGTATAATTCAGACTGGTTTGTATGCCTGGAAGATTTGCACACACCCATTGTTTATGTTAAAAATCAAGTACAACAGGTTCTACACATGACATGTCACAAATAACATACCGAACATTGCTTACCTATCTGCAGCAACACCGGTGTAACCAGGGCGGTTTCCATGGCATAGCAAAACTCACGTCCAAACATCACAGCTGCATGCATTACCCAGCGATACCAGGGTATTCGAGCTGTTCTTCCCTCTTCCACCTCTTTGTTGTTGTCACCGTCTTTTTCAAATTGTGCGGACTTTCTGTCTTCAGGAAGGTCCAAAGCCTCTTTCTCCTCTGCTTCCCCTCCCATTTCCATTTGGTTTATTATGATTCGGACTTGTTCTTAATATATGTAAAGCCACAATTTTCTGTAACCACTGGAAAAAATGTATTCAATTTATAATAAGCCAAAATAAAATGCCTATAATTTTCATCATAATAAATCATTAAGAATAAACCAAGCTTTCTGAGGAGTCTCATCAGCAACCAGAGTTTAAAGAAAATAGGAAATTAGTGGCAACAATTGTTATGAGAAAAAAAAAAAAAAAAAACTTTTCCTGTTACTATTGTATTGTTGTGGTGGTGCTCCTCATAGTTGTTTGCATTCAAGCTCTAAATTTACAAAAAAGCAGAAAATAGCTGTGCAGCTCCCAAACTATGAAGTGGGGAGAAGCAGGATGGAGACAGAGATGGAACAGGTGGCTGATAAGGTTGTGGTTTCCAGTAGCTCTGTTTGTGGCAAATCCATTCAAATACCTGCAAATGTCTGTCTGCATGTGAGTTTAGCTGGTCTTAAAAAAAATCAAAAGTCTGTGCATGTGCACATTAGTTAAGTTCAAGTAAGTCAGTCAAAACCTCTAGAAATTCCTTGGCGAAGGCCCACGGCCATCGTCACTCAGCTACCTGCAAAAAATAGATGTCACTTAGTTAGATTATGAACAAAAATTAAAATATAACACATCAGTAGAGCAGGCTACATTTTTAGTTTGAATTGCTCAGTCCACATGAAACCTATAAATGTATGTTAATACACTACAAACATGTTCTTTTACGTGCATATTTTGAGATTTTGTTTTTGTAACTGAGATACTAGAAGGCTCATGTTAAGTAATTTAGTGCATCTGGCTTCCATAATAGGAAACAAACAAACAAACAAAAAAACAACCCTACTTTGAGTTTAGTCAAAAATTGTTCCGCTTGAAATACTACCAAGCAGTTAAAATGGGCTAAATCATAAACAGAACGAATACACAAAAATCAAGCTGTTCAGCCATGTGTAAATCTGGGATTGAGCTCTTTGACTCTGTGCAAATAAACATGAAACCACAAGTTTACGTAAAAAAAAAAATCATTACAACAACACTGGCTGTTGCACAAGTGCTAACTGTTAATGTAGACAAATCTTTGTAGCAAACTTTATGCTGAATGCAATCCCACGAATAGTATCGTGATTAGATTTTGAGAATACAGTTTACTTCAAGTTCCCCCTCTCTCTCTAGTCTTAATCATTCTTCATGTTAATGTTTAATCGCTTGGGGCTCGATGTGCAACAAGTCTTGAGCAATTTTCTCTCGTCTACATAAAGACACAGAGTAACATGTATAGAATGAGCCCTCGTAATACAAAGTAGCATGTATTTTGTTGCAAACAATGAATTAAAAATGTAGCTCTCTTTTATTTAAATGGACTGAAAGCTTCCTTGAAGTATGCGATTCTTTTGTCGCAACTTATTTCGACACGTTTTACTCCAACAGCGCTCGTAAACTTATCTGTCCAACCTTTCTTACAGAACAAAACCTAGCCATACAAGTCATTTAGCATGTCAGGTTGATATCTACCACTATACACGAGGAATTGCATACAAAAATGTTACTTTGTTTGGTATTTGACTTGCTAACATTTTGAGCTACTGGGAAGGCTAATATTTTGCGGTCAGAACTAAAAGCTCACTCATAATAAACCCAAAACATTTATACAAAACTCACCACAGGTACTGCTTTTATTTGGCAAAGTTTAACTATTCCCACACGCTATTTTACCAGCAAAAACGGTCAGTTTTGAAAAAGAAAATGTGGCTAACATTCACCAGCTAATTCAGTAACCATCAGGTTTCTCGAGCTACCTCATCTACTTCATGGTTTCCACAGTAACAAAGAGAGGCGTGGCCAGATAGAGTATGACGTAATCGCGCTACTACCCAATTATGGCAAGCCGTCTGAGATTGACTAGCGCATGTAACGTAAAATAATTGAGTTGAATGAGATAATATTCATTAGCCTGAATAATTTGAATACATAGGATATGTTTCAAATTGTGAAATAAATATATATTTTTAATTGATTTATCTATTTTACACACATTTGACAAAAGTACATATAAATGTTGGGCTCATTTGCTAAAAATTCCCATCTACTACATAAAACCTAAAAATCTGAATCATATAGACATTTTTCCATTTTCATTTTCTTATTTTCATATACTTTCAGTATTTGACCAAAGTAGATATAAATTTTGTCCTCATTTGCTACAATTTGATCCCATCTACTACATGAAACGTAAAAATGGAATCATCTAGACACTTTTCTATTTTAATTTTCTTATTTTTATACACTTTTAGTACGACTTATCACCCACAAGTTTAAAAAAAAAAAAATGAAAAGCCCATTTTGGTTTATTATACAATGTAAAGAAATTTACGTTCAAACTTTTTAGAAACGCAAATTGTCTTGTTTTCTATTTCAGTGACTTACTCCTGTTAAATGCCTTCAAAATGAATTGCAATGTTGCCCTCTGCTGTATAATAGTGGATAGTATTTCTGAATTGTTTTTGTTAAGATGTTAATTTGGCTGTATTTGTAAACGAAAACTATACAAAAAAATAAAAAATGAAATATACACACACACACACACACACACACACGCACATATATATATATATATATATATATATATATA